TGAAATGCAAACTAAACACTTTTTTGAAAGTTTCAGTCTGTATTAGGTTTCTCCAGAGAGATGGACTAATATGGTAGGTAGGTAGGTAGATAGATTCGATAGATAGATAGATAGATAGATAGATAGATAGATAGATAGATAGATAACAGATAGATGATAGATAGATAACAGATAGACGATAGATAGATGATAGATAGATAGATAGATAGATAGATAGATAGATAGACAGACAGACAGACAGACAGAGATGAAAGGAGATTTATTGGCAGAATTGGCTCACATTATTACAAAGGTTAAGTCCCATGGCAGGCTATCTGCAAGCTGGAGACCCTAGGATGCCAGCGGCATGGCTCAGTACAACTATAAAGTCCTGAGAACCCAGTGGGAATGTTGAGGGTGCTGGTGAAAGTCCTGGAGTCCAAAGGTCAGAGACTGTAGAGTTCTGATCTCCAAGGGCAGGAGAAGAAGAGTGTATCTAAGCTCCAAGAGAGAGACCAATTCACCTTTCCACTATTCTGTGTTTTATCAGAGACTCCAGCCTATTGAATGGTGAAAACTCACATTGAGGGTGAACTTTCTGTACCTAGTCCACTCACACACACACATCAATCTCCTCAGGAAATACTCACAAAAACACACTTCCAAACAAAGCTTTACCTGTTCTCTAGGTATTTCTTAATCTAGTCAAGTTGACACTTAAAATTAACTATCACACACTCATTTCCTATTACTGAAAATAAAGGCTTGCATTCTATTTGAATATGAGCACAACATTCAATGCCATACTCCTGCCCCAAGCAGAAATTAAATATTGTAGCTAATGGGACACAGGAGAACAGGCAGCATCTCAAATGTCTACAGTAGTTTACCAAGCAAAACTGAGTTGATGTCATCTGATGAGTAGAGAATACATTTCTGCCAAGGAGAGCAGCAAATGCAGTAACACTGGCAAAGGTGACTGTGCTTAGATGCTTCAGTCCTAATAAAGAGGACCCCTTCATGCACGCTTTAAACTAGTCAATGAGCCTTTTAAAAGTCAGTATGGCTGAGATAAAATGTATATACAGGAAAATTTATCTTTTTTCAGTGTATGATTCTACAAATTTTGAGCAATAAGTACAGTCATATAACCACCATAATTGACATTCAGAATATTTGATCCTCCCCTCCCGCCAAAGAGTTCCCTTATGTCCCTTTTCAAGACTAAACGGTCATCCCAACCTCAGTCACTGGTAATTGCTGATCTGACATTTCTTCTAATGGTTTTGCTTTTGTGTCTGACTTTTGTGAATACACTTGAGATTCATCAACATTTTGTGTGTCTTTGTGGTCTGTTTCTTTTTACTGTTGAGTAGTATTCCACTGGAGAAGGTACCAATTTTTTTATCAATTCCCAAGTTGAAGGACATTTTATTATTTTTGATATTTGGTATGAATAAAGTGTCTGTAAACATTTATGTTCAGTTTTTGTGTGAATATGGGTTATCATTCCACTTGGGTAAATACTTTCAAGTGGGATTATTTGATTGTATATTAAGTGTATGATTAACTTGATGATTAACTGCCAGGTTCTTTTCCAAAAAGGCTGTACATTTTGCATTTCAACCAACAAGGCAGGAGAGTTCCTGTTTGTACATATTCAGAAGCTGTCATTGTCAGTTTTCTGGTGTTTTGACTTTTTTTCTTGTAATTTCTTTACATTTTAATCCTTCTTTTAGGTTTGTAGTGGCATCTTGTCATTTAAGTTTCATTTGCTTAATGACAATGTTGTTAGTTACTATCTGTGTCTCTTCTTTGGTGCAATGTCTGTTGAAATCTTTTGCCCACTTTAAACTGTATTTTCTCTTTTCTTATTATTGAGTTATGAGGGTACTTTCCATACTGTAGACCAACTCTTTATCACATATGTGATTTGCAAGTATTTTCTTGAAGTACTTTAGTCCTTTTATTTTGTTAAATATTTTGAACAACAAAAAAAAGTAGTTTTAATCTCTGCCTACATTAAGGGTAAAATACGTTTTCCTGAAAGATTTATAGTTATCAGATTTTGCATTTAGATCTATAATCCATTGAATGTTTGTGTTTATGGTGTGAATATAATTTGTTTTATTTTTTACATGTGAATTTTCAATTATTTCAGCACCATTTAATTATTATTCTAAACTTTATCCATTGAATTGTCTTGGCATCTTTGTCAAAATAAATGAACTTTACCTGTGTAAGTTTATTTCTGGACTCTCTCTTCTCTTAAATTGGGTCAACCTGCCCATCCTTTTGGCACTACCATACTGTCTTAGTTAGCATGGCTTTATAAAAATCTTGGTATCAGGAGGCAGTTTAGGTTCTGCAGTTTTAATCTTGTGTTCCAAGTTTGTTTTCGTCTTTATATGTATTTACTGCACTTTATAATTTTGACATCAGAAAGTCAACTTCTACAAAGAAAACCTGTGGGGACTTTAGAAATACATTGAATCTGTAGATCACTTTGGGTAGAATCAACACTTTAACAGTAATGTATTTTCCAATCCATGAATATTTATTGATAAACTGTTATTTCTCTTATCAATGTTTACTAGTATTCAGCTTTCAAATATTTCACATATTTTGTTAGGTTTATCTCTATGTATTTGCTTTTTTGTCATTGCAATGGTACTTAAATACATAGTTTGTTAATTTCTGCATTTTTTCTACAATTCAAGCTATATACATTTATTGCCCTGAAAATGGTAGTTGTTTGGCAGATAACAAGGAGTATGTTATAGATTTACAGTAACAAGTTATTTCCATTGACACATGGACACCGGTTTGTCCTGTTATAAAGATTTGTCTTCTCTTTTATTTAGGAAGAGTTAAATATCTTCCCTTTTTTACATTCTCAGAGTTATAGTCTCATGCTATTTTTTTGATGGCTTGTCTAAAATGTATTATGGGAGGCCTTTCCTTCTTGGAAAATTCAACGTAAGAGCAATAAGAAAGAAGGCACAGAGGATTTTCAAGTTAACCTATAAATTCTATATCACATGTTTTCTCTCCAGCAAGTCTTAAGTGTAGCTTACATTCCTGAGTGGGATAACAGACTTCACTTCAACTATTGACTGTTGTATATTAACCTTGTATTTTGCAACCTTCATATACCTGTTTTTTTTTTTTCCAGGAGTTTCTGTCATTTATTTGGGATTTTCTACATGGACCAGCGTGTCATCTGCAAACAAAGGTAATATTATTTCTTTCTTGCCTAACACTCAATTTTAGTGAAAACCCCTCCAATTTCTCAACAATAAGTATAAGGTAAGTTGTAGTTGTTTAGGTTTTTTTTATTATTTTATAAATGGTGCTTTCCTCATTTTGTTTTGCTTATCTGTTTGCAAATTGAAAATGTTTCGTTCTACTTCAAGTTGCTGGGAGTTTTTATCATTAATTAGTTTTGGATTATTTTATTCTTTTACTGTACTAATTAATATGATCATCTTATTTTCCTTCTTTAGTCTGTTGATATAACTGATTACATTGATTAATTTTTCAAATGTGGAACTATCCTTGCATACCTAGAATATAAATTTCACTTGTTTGTGGTTGGTGCACAATGTTTTTATACATTGTTGGATTCACTTTTATAAATATTTTGTAAGGACTTTTGCACTTATGTTTATGAGAGGTATTAGTCTGTAGTTTTCTTTTATTGTATTTATTTGGTTTTGATTGTAGGGTAACTCTAGTCTCAAAAATTTAGTTAGAAAATGTTTGTTCTGCATCTGTTTACTGGTAGAGTTTAATACTTGGAACAATTCCTTACTGAACTATTTTGAATAATTTATAAGTAAAATAATCTGGATTTGGTAATACTCTTTTTGGAAAGGCAATATTATTTCAATTTTTTAATATACAAATATATAATTACTCAGGTTATCTATTTCTCTTGTGTGAGTTTTGGTAGTTGTACATTTTCCTTTCAAGAAAGTAATCTGTTTCATCCAAATTATTTAAATTATTGATGTGTGTTGTTAGTAGTATTTTCTTGTTATCCTTTTAATGTCCTTGAGATCAGTAGAGATTACTGATATGGTTTGGCTGTGTCCCCACCCAAATATCATCTTGAATTGTAGCTCCCATTATCCCATGTGTCATGGGAGTGACCGTGTAGGAAGTAATTGAATCATGAGGGTGGGTTTTTCCCATGCTGTTCTTGCGATAGTGAATAAGTCTCATGAGATCTGATGGTTTTTATAAAGGGTACTTCCCCTGTCTGGCTGGATTTGCCAAATGCTGGTTAAAGAGCTCTTGGACCTTGAACGAATATTTGTGGTAGCCAGGCAGTGGCTGTCATGGGTCTGGAGTAAGAGCCAGTGCTGTGCTGGCTTCAGGTCTGAGCCAGCACAGTCCCAGTGGTGGTGGCCACACAGGTGCTTGTGTCATCCCTCCGCCAGCTCCAGGCAACTCAGCACAGAGAGGGAGACTTTTTAGTTTGGGAAGTAAGGGAATAGAACAGAGTCTGTCCTGGTAACCCTGGGAACCCTCCCAGATTCTACCCAAGATCACCAAGGCAGTATCACTATGAGTCTGCAAGAGTCACAGCATTACTGAGCTTGAGGTGTCCATAGTGCAGATACAGCTTCACTGAACAAAGAATTAGATCATAATATTCAATTCCCTTTGAATACTTAGAAAGCCTTCCCAAGAAGGATGAATATAAATAAGCCTAGAGTGTGATGACTACAATCATACCTCACTCTTCAATACCCAGACAGTGACAAACATCTGCAAGTGTCAAGACTATCCAGGAAAACATGACCTCACCAAATGAACTAAACAAGGCACCCATGACCCTACCCTGGGGTGACAGAGATAAGTGACCTTTCAGACAGAGTTCAAAATATCTGTTTCACACAGAATAAAGAATTGCTTTGAGCCGTCCACAGAGGCATGAGGTCTGAAACTGGAAGACAGCAGTCTATTGTGACTGATGTAAAACAAACAGAATCTAGGGGGAAACAATATCAAGACAGTGTTTTGATTCTGGATTTATTTTAACCATTGTGCACATCACCGATTTTCAAAGGGTGGTCCTCACAGGTGGCGCTGGCATCCCCCGAGCTTGTGAGGTATGTAAATAAATGGGCGCCTCGCTGACTACTTCATCAGAATCTCAGGGGACGGGGCTCCGGAACTGTGCTTCAGCTACTTCTCCAGGTGATGCCTATGCATGTAAAAGTTTGAAAATACGGTATAGACGTGGCCTGATTCTCTCAAAGCTTAGAAATCACTTAAAGTCGGCCTCAGATCAATGTATCTACAGTACTTTGTGTACATATCTGAAGTGCCATCAGAGCAGCTAGCTCTCTCTCTCTCTCGCTCTCTCTCTTTCCTCTTTAAATATACCTCAACTGGAAAATATTGAAAAAGTAGCAGATAGCACTGAGTTCTTGATAATGTCATTCTATATTTTTATCTAATTATTTCCTTGCTTAAAAATGAACTAGAAAACAAAGGAAAAAATGAGAAACAAATATAAACATATTGTTTAAAAAGAAGGTAAATATAAACATATTTTACTTGAAAAGGTAAAGCCTTTACGGCATTTGTTATTTTAAAAAAATCTAAAAATAAAAATGCTAGTGAGAATGATATACCCCCACCTCAGAGAATGGTTTCTCCTGGAAGCAAGAAAAAGAAAAAGAATTAGAGGATAAGGTTTCAGTTGCATTAGTAACATTTTATTTTTAAAGAAAACACTATGTAAATCGACGTGAAAAAATATTACTTCTGATAAAGTCTAAAAAGTGGGCAGATAAGAAAATGCTGTATCATACTCCAAATTCTTGAAGTATTACGATAATAAAATAACTCAGTATTTTAAAATCCAAAATAAAATATAATTTCCAAATTTAAAAAAAATGTTTATTTTTTAGGACAATGATAAAGTAAACATAAGGAGTCAAACATTTTTAGACACTACTGGTAAGAGTATTAATTGGTAATGCATATTCTGTAAGAAACTATAGTTGGAATCATACAGACATTCCAGAATCGCTTCTTTCACCTACCAATATGCATTTGAGGTTTCTCCATTTCTTTTCATGGCTTGATAACTCACTTGCTTTTAGGACAGAATAATATTCCATTAGAGAATTACCACAATTTATCTATACATTCACCTGTTATAGGACATCTTGGTTGCTTCCACTTTTTGGCAATTATAATTAAAGCTGAAATAAACTTCTATGTACAGGTTTCTGGGTGGCCATGTATTTTCAACTTCTTGTCAATATTTTGTGTTGTCGGTGTTTTGGATTCAGGCCATATGAACAGGTGTGTGGTGGTATGTCATTGCTCACATTTGCAATTCCCTAATGGCACATGACGTTGAGAGTCTTGACTGACTTGCCTACCATTGTCAATTTTTTTTAACCTTGTCAAATTTCCCTCTTTCAAACATTGCTCTCCCCTGTATGGAAATATTTTCTCCTGAGGTTTGGGTAACTAAATGAGGAAGATAAGAGGAGATCTTATAATGAGAAATTTAAGTAAATGTGCTTGAGAGTATGGAATGGAATGCCATATCATAACAGTTTATGTAATTTAATAAATAGAGTTTATGTGCTCTTTTAGGCGTTAAATTCATATACAGAGATTCATTCATTAAGCATTTCTCCCCTGCCTTACCTGAAAACATCATCGATTAAATGTTAGAGCCAAATATCACCCTGTGGGAAACTAACTGTAGTTTGAGAGGTTGTGTTTTTGGCGTTTTGTTTGTTTGTTTGTTTTTTGTTTTTGGGAGAAACAAAGAGAGTTACCAAAAAAAATAGGAAGGAGAAACTCAGTGTTAGGTGTATTGTCCACGAAACAAATATATGTGAAGAGTATCTTGTTCTGGTTTCAGTAATTTCATTGTATTTTGCACTAGAAATGGATACCTTCCCACATGTTCATGGCTTTCAAATAAAAACTACATTTCTTTAACTTATTTGATGATGTATTAGAAACAGGCACATCTGACATCTTAGAAATATAAGAGAAAATATTTCTTGTTTTTCTACAAATACCTCATCTTTTATCTGAACCCCAAGGTGTAAAGAGGATGAGAAGTCTCCCAGGCACTGACCTGTCTATGCTTACGGCACAACACTGGCACCTCCATATGGACTCTAACCTAGAGACTGATTTGGACTGATTGGGTGGCAACTCATGTGTGTTACTGCAGCAATTCAAGCCTGTGCTTTACCAAAAAGAAAGCTAAACTCAGTACCATTGGATTCACTAAGACTTGATCCTTTTCAAAAAATGAAATGTGTAAAACTAAACAGATAGTATTTCTCTTTGAAATATCAAGGCTCGAAGCAACTTCAACACTCAACACTGATGGGATCAGGAATGATTGACCGTTTTCATGGAAGATAATGACATACATTACTTATTTTCATTGGAGGAATTTATGAAGTGTGGAAAGATTGCTTATCCATAGGCATGTAGGACAGACATAAAGAGAAAAAGACACAGAAGAAAATTGCCTTCTTAGAGAATGGCTATAGGCATTATCAAGAGGATGTTTGCATTCTCAAAGAGCTGAGGGACTGCAGACATTAGCTAGGATTATCATGATGATAATGATTATAATAATTACTTACATTATCTTTAACTGTTGGCACAATTCTTCCCCAGACATTTTCAGATTGAGAAAATCAGAGTATGGGAACATTTCTCCCTGAAAAATGAATGCAACCAAGAAAAATTTCAACTATCTCTAAAATAAATATAGACTTGCCTTGGCTCTCAGCCCACTTCCAGTTGGAAATAAACAAAATTCAAAAACTATTTGACTCCGAATCAGCCTATTTATACCATACCTATCATGTTGGTTGAGTGTTTGTTTGTTTGTTTGTTTTTTGTAATTTTCAGAGTAATTTAATCCCACTCTTCTACTTACATACAGGAAAAGAAACACTTTCTGGGGAAAGGAACCACCTATTTGCCACAATGAAATACTTGCTGTGACTGATACATAGTATATATGGAATAAATATTTGCTAAGTATTACAAAGAGATAAAAAAACACAATGAAACCATGGCTGTATCTGCCAAGTTTGTATAACTTGTCTGTATGTAGACAGGGGAATTCTTACCTGCTCATCTGAAGTGTTCAGGTGAATGCCAGTAGTATACGGAAATTCTCATATTCTGCTGTAGGCATTGTGACATAAGTAAACTCCAATATACTTATGAGTGTTTTTGGATGTGTTGAGAGAAGCATCCAGCTCCAGTTGAAACATTGGAACATCACTCAGTGCTTTTTATCAACTGGGACCATGTCCCCTGACTCTCGGAATATTTTCCCTTTTTCTTCTTGCCTTCCTTCTGAAGGGGTGGCCTGCCCCTCCACACCTGTGGGCGTTTCTCGTTAGGTGGAATGACAGACTTGAGAAAAGAAATGAGACACAGAGACAAAGTATAGAGAAAGAAAAAGTGGGCCCAGGGGACCCGCACTCAGCATATGGAGGACCCACCCCAGCACTGGTCTGAGTTCCCTCAGTATTTATTGATCATTATCTTTACCATCTTAAAAAAAGGGAAGTGGCAGGATAATAGGATCATCATACGGAGAAGGTCAGGAGTAAGACATATGAATAAAGATCTCTGTGACATGAATAAGTTTAAGGAAAAGTACTGTGCCTTGATATGCATATGCAAACATCTCCATAAACCTTTTTAGTGCATAAAGAGCAGTACTGCCCTAGCAAGTCCCACCTTTCGCCCTAAGGCAGTTTTCTCCCATCTTAGTAAATAGAACATACCGGATTTTACACCGAGATGTTCCATTGCCCAGGGACAGGCAGGAGACAGATGCTTTTCTCTATCTCAACTGCCAAGAGGCCTTCTTTCCTCTTACATTAATCCTCCTCAGCACAGACCCTTCACGGGTGTCGGGCTGGGGGATGATCAGGTCTTTCCCTTCCCACAAGGCCATATTTCAGACTATCACATGGGGAGAAACCTTGGACAATACCTAGCTTTCCTAGGCAGAGGTACTTGCGACCTTCGGCAGTGTACGTGTCCCTGGGTACTTGAGATTAAGAGAATGGTGATGACTTTTTACAAGCATACTGCCTTTAGGCACTTGTTTAACAAAACACACCCTGCACAGCCCAAAATCCGTTAAACCTTGAGTCACCACAGCACGTCTCTTGCAAGGACAAGGTTGGGGGTAGGGTCACAGATTAACAGCATCTCAAATACAGAACAAGATGGAGTCTCTTATGTCTACTTCTTTCTATATAGACACAGTAAAAGTCTGATCTCTCTTTCTTTTCCCCGTACCTTCATTTTGCCTTAACTTTTTTACACAGACAGAATCATATATACCCTCACATTTTCTCCCATGAGAGTGATTTAAATAAGTGTATAGCGTTGCAATAAACCTGGGAGTGCAGTTAGAACTGAAGGACATTATGTTGCATGAAATAAGCCACACACGGAAAGACAAACTTTGGATGATCTCACTCACTTGTAGAAGCTAAAAATTAAAGCAATTGAACTCCTGAAGATAGAGTAGAATGATGGTTACTAGAGGCTGGTAAGGGTAGTAGTGGGTGGAGGAAATGGGATGGTTAATGGACACGAAAATATAATTAGACAGAATGAAGAAGATCTAGTAGTTGATGGCACAACAGGGTAACTACAGTCAACAATCGTTTATCATATAATTAAAAATAACTAAGAGTATAACTGAATTGTTTTTAACACAAAGACACGATGAATGCTCGAGATGATTAATACCACATTTACCCTGATGTGATCATTACATATTATATGCCTGTATCAAAATATCTTATGTATTCCATAAATATATGCACCTACTATGTACCCACACAAATTTAAAAAATCAATGCTAAGTGTCCCATGGCTGAACAAAACCAAGCCTCTCACATAGTAAATGAAAGAATGGAGGCCTTCAAAAGTTCATTTATCTACCAAAGGACCCATATTTAATTACTGACTATACTAGTTATCTATTGCTCTATAACAAAAGCTTAGACACTAAAAGTAACAAATATTTATTATCTCACAAAATTTTTTGAGGGTCAGGCCTCCAGGAACATCTTAGTTCTGGTTCTGGGTCTCCTACAAGGTTGCAGTTCACACATCAGTCAGGGCTGCAGTCATCTGAAGGATTGACTGGGCTGAAGCATCTGATTCCAAGATCGCTAAGTGGCTGTTGGCCAGTGGCCTCCAAGCCTCACCATGTGGCCAGCTGGATTTCCTCAAAGCAAATGATCTGAGACAGAGAAAGAGAAAGAAAGAGGAAGAGGAGGAAGGGAATGAGGAGAGGAAGGAAGAGAAAACCTGAAATGTCCCTTGTAACCTAATTTTAGAAGAGGTATACAATTATATCTGATGTATTCTATGGGAAACACAGATCAATTTTGATAATGGAAGTGGAGGGTATTCACAAAGAGGATGTGACTATCTGGAGGTGAAAATCCTTGGGGGTCATATTGGAAGCTGACTACTGTAGTGGCCTAGCAAGAATTACACACCAGGTATTCTAACTTAAGTCCACGCTCTTTTCACTACACTTTACACGATTTATCATCCCCTTCTTTTATTGAATGTTTCATAATTTTCTTATTCTATATCTCAGATGACATCTATATAAATTCCAATTATCTTTATGTGATTGAAACTTAAAAACTATAATAATAAAAATATTTTTATAATTATAGCTCAATTCTTAGCATAATTGTCAATAAACTTGATAAGAAAGTGATGCCATCACTTTCTTACTGAAACAAAAAAGGATAACAGGTGGATTATACACAGTCTAGATATAGTTAAAGAGAGAATACAGATCTAAGAATTTAGACTGAAAAAAAAACCAGAATGCCACACACAGAAATAAGATATGAAAAATTTCTAAGATTACAGAAATATGACAGATCAAAAAACCTCAATATTTAAGAATTCCAAAAATGAACGAATTGAGAATATAAAATAGAGTCAATATTTGGCGGAGAATTTTCCAGAATTAGAGCGAGATACGACTACTCAAATCGGGGAATATAATGTATTTCTTCATTTAACTCTCAAAATAATCACCTTAATTAAGGATTATTTCAGGTAAATAAAATAAGCACAGAAAAGATAAAAATAAACTGGTTAAATCTACCCAGTGACAAGTGGTGGAATCGTCATTTTGATTCCCAAGCCCCTTCCCCATGAGTGCCTACATCTTGGTCATTTACGTTAACACGTGCCCATAGTGGTGCCTAATTCAAAATCCCGCCCCTTCCTGAGATCATCTGGGCAGATCAAATAAACTCCAGAGACACAGCATTTGGAAGGACAGATGAGACTGAATATCTATCCTAAGCAAATAAAAAGCCAGCAGCATAAACCAATCCATTTTTGCAGAATAGTAAGTAAGTAAGTTTAGTTAGAAAAAGAGTCAATTTCAGGAGAATCTTGAACTAAGACTAGGATGTTTGAATTCAGTTTTGTACATTGAACATGAATTCTTTCCCTACTGTGCCATAAGTTTCTTGAACCAAAGGCATGTTTTATTCAGCCATAAGGTCGCATGCGCAGGATAGACTCTTCCTAGATGTGTGATAAGTTCTAGAACTAAACCCTGAAGAACATTCACATTTAGGGCATGGAAACAGAAAAAGAAGGCAATTAGGAAGACAGAGGAGAGTTCAGGGAGATAAGAGAATAATAGTGTTAAGGATGGTAAAGTAGTGCCTAGAAGAGAAGAGTTAACATCAATGTCCAATGTCCCTGAGAAGTTAAAAAAAAAAAAAAAAAAATTAAAGATCTATAAAAGGTTATTGGGTGTGTTAATTGAGAGATGAGTAATAAATTTTTCAGAATATACTTTCAGGAGAATATAAGGAGGAAAATCAAGTACAAGATGTAATTTTTGACCTCTGGAAATTTGGAAGACAAGATATAATCAAATATAATAAGCAATAATAATTACAAGTCACTACATTTTTGGAATTTCAGCAGGATGTCCTTGTTGTATGATTGTGTAAAATCATCTCTACTAACACAAAAAAATATAATTCTGAGAATATTCTGAGATAGTCAACACTAGAAAGACAATGTTGTAATTAAACTCAGATTGTATGCTATAATTAACTAAAACAATACCCTTAATCATTATATAATCTGTCTTAGATTTGAAGACTCATAATCTATCCCTTGTATAAGTAGAAATAACATTCACGTGGTCATTTTAGAAATAGTATTTTTCTCTCTTCAAACTTAAAGAATAAGTTTAATGAGGACAATGTTACTGCTTATTAAGCTTAAATTTTAGGGCAAAATTCCCTTAGAAATGTTATTTTTTCTCGGCCGGGCGCCAGTGGCTCATGCCTGTAATCCCAGCACTTTGGGAGGGTAGGTCAGGCGGATCACCAGGTCAAGAGATTGAGACCATCCTGGCCAACATGGTGAAACCCCGTCTCTACTAAATATACAAAAATTAGCTGGGTGTGGTGGCGGGCGCCTGTAGTCCTAGCTACTCGGCAGGCTGAGGCAGGAGATTTGCTTGAACCCGGGAGGCAGAGGTTGCAGTGAGCTGAGATTGCTGCACCTCAGCCTGTGTGACAGTGTGAGACTCTGCCTCAAAAAAAAAAAAAAAAAAAAAAGAGAGAGAAAAAGAAATGTTATTTTTTTCTCTAAGACAGAAAGGCATTGATTTCTTTTTATATTTCTTTCTTCAAATGGCAATCTTTGCTTATGATATTATCATTCTTGTTTATTCATTACAAAAATATTATATATATTTAATT